GACGAATTCTCAGCTGGTGGATCGGCTGCTTTTGTCTCTTTGCCATCTTGTGGTTTAGGGTTTTCTGGGCGTCTGTGTCGGTAATTGAAGTTGCGACGGTACTGACGTTGAGGTGGCTGCTGACCTTGGGTCTCATCTCCTTGATTTTCCTATCTTCTTCACTGCCGTCCTCTCTAGGCTGTCTTTGGCTAGGAGGGCCCTGTGGAATCGTGGTCTATAACCTCGATACATATTCTGTCTCACTTGTCTACCTTGTTCTCCTGCACCCTGGCTGTCAGCACCCTCCATCACTTCTCCTTGCACAGGAGGGTTGGGGTACTGTGGCCAACGCCCACAGAGTCTCTGCATATAGTGAGGTGGGAACCTTCACCTGCGGTGGGGCTGGCGTGGCTGGGCCTGGCCTTCGGGAGCGCTCTGGATCCCTCATTCTTTTCCCCACTCTCGCTATTCTGGTAATTCTGCTGGTAATTGCGTGGAGGACCCCTACGACGTGGATAGCATCTATAATGGTTATGGTCTGCTGTGTATTTACTGCCTTGAACTGGAGCTCCACCAGGGCCTGTGACATTTGCTGCCTCCGCACCCTTTTCTCCTTCAACAACATCAAACTCCGCAGTCTCTCTACCTCCTGCACTGCGAAGGTCCTTCCTGGGGTTATTCCTCTTTATGGCAGTCTGGTGTACAAATACATCTTCCTTGGTGTCATTCCTGTTGATGAAGCCATGTCCGCTTCTTACATTAAACCATTTTACTGTCCCCAAAACCTTCCTTGCGATGATTTTCTTGTCCCCTCCAGCAGGGGCCACCGATGTGAGGCCTCCCGGGCCGCCGCTTCCCTCGCTGCTGCGGGTGGTGCCGGGCTCAGTGTCAGCAGCGCTGAGGGCGGCAGGCGGCGGCTGGGTCCGGGCCTCGCTGCTCACGGTTGCGGTGATGGTGACTAGGCCGGCGGCGATGGGGCTGCTCAGGGCTCTCTGGGGTCCGCTCTCCGCTTCCGCTACCGATCTCGGCCTCTCTTTGAGAGATTCTCTCTACTAGTCCAACCTAGCCTTGAATTCAATGTGCAGCTCAGGCTGGCCTTGAAATCGCAGTGATCCCCTTGCTTCGGCTTCCCTGTAACTGATTACAGGGATGTGCACAGCATACCTGGCTCTTACCAGAGTTTCGCTAGCCCTCCTCAAAGTCCGAGAATCTGAGCCTGACTCTGAGCGACTTAGAGACCAAAGTTCCAACTGGGTGCGCATGCGCACTGATGCTGGGCTCAGGCCGGGGCTCCACACACGCTGCGCACAGGCTCTCCGCAGCCTCTCCCTGAGCCCTGCGGGATCATCCTTCACACCTACCTGGCCACCCAGTCACACACCTCAGGGTGCTGTCTGTGGGTGTTATGTACCTGGGATCCACAGGGCGCATCGCTGCCAGTTACCTCTTCAGAGGAGCAGCTTGAACAAAGCTCATCATTCTGAAAACAGGCAGCAACTGAAGACTGTGAGTGTCCCACGCAGCGTGCCCATGGCTGCTGAGCCTTAGTGACGCCGTGCGCGTTCGCGTGACCGAGACCTGCGTGGGAGAGGCGTGCTGCCTGCCGCGTGGGTGTGGACACATCATATACGTGTTCTGCTGTAGCAAGCTGCCTGGAGATGGAGATGAAAATCAGAACAGAAGATGCTATCGCCAGCCCAGGTGGGTAGGCAAACATCCCATTTCTTAGCGTTTTTGTTTGTCTGATTACCTGTTTGAGACAGGGTCTCACTATTCAGCTCAGGCCGGCTTTGAGCTCACCTTATGGGTCGGGCGGTCTTAAACTCGCAACAATCCTCCTGCCTCAGCCTCCCAAATGCTGGGATTACAGACATGCATCACCATGCTTGGCTATTGGCATTGCTTTATTAGCCCATGTTTGCAGCACCTAATGATTACATTCATCACGGGAGCCAGTCTTGGACACACATCAGCACATCTTACTTCCCCATCTCTTCCCTACTCCTTCCAACTCTTGTTCTGTCTGTCTCTGTCTCTCTTTCTTTCTAATTTTTTTTAATTTTTAATTTTTTTCATAACTTTATTGAGAGACAAATACCAATGAGATAGTTTCAAATCAAATCAGTACGACAGTTTCAATAATTAACATATTGCGTACTCTCTTCCTAGTGGTTATTTGCTGTACAAGATGCAGACATGATATCCTATTTACATTATTTTTTTTTCAGAACCGTGTATCGAACTCAGGCCCGTGCACTTGCCAAGGAAGCACTTATTCCACTGAGCCATCTCTTTGGCCCCATGATATCCTATTTACAAACACTATTAAAAGTTTTGGTTTTTTTAGGTTTTCTTTTTTTTTTGTTCACGGTCTCACTACATAGCCCACATTAGTAGCGATCCTCCTGATTTCTGCCTCCCAAGTGCTGGGATTACAGGCACGCGCCACCGCACCTGGACTCCATCGCCAGCTCAGCGCACCCGAAGGCGGGGGGCCGGCGCGACATGCAGAGCCAGGAATTGAACCCTGGCCCCTGAGCTTAGCTAAGCAAGCGCTTAGTCCGCTAAGCTATACCGCCAGCTCTCTCTCTCTCTCTCTCTCTCTCTCTCTCTCTCTCTCTCTCTCTCCTTCCCCCTCCCTCCCTCCCTCTTTGAATTCACCATGTAGTCCAGGGTGGCCTCAAACTCACAGCGATCCTCCTGTCTCAGCTTCCCGAGTGTCCCAGGTCCATTTTATCTTATTTTATTTTTGCAGTATCAGGGATTGAACTCTTTTTTAAAATATGGCACACTTCATGAATTTGCATGTCGTCCTTGCGCAGGGGCCATGCTAATCTTCTCTGTATCGTTTCTATTTTAGTGTATTTGCTGCGGAGCAAGCGTCCAGGTCCATTTTAAATGCAAGAAGTTCAGGGGGGCGGGGAGATAGCTTAGTAGAATAAGCACTTCCCTGGCAAGCTCAAGGGCCTGAAGTTCAGTCTCTGGCTCCGCCAAAAATAAAAATAAAATAAATTTAAGAAGTTTGAGTAGATGTTCAAGGCCTTGTGTCTGACGCATGCAGTTGTATATCCCTGGCTACTCATCACCGAGCCTCGGCGTGCTCATTTGCATGCAAGCGCGCATGCGCATGCGCACTGAGCACAGCTGGAGCCCCGGCTCCTCTCTAAGTGGGTAACAACAGTCCTTCTCAAGGCGCAGTAGACTCGGAGTGCTCATCGTGAGCTTACGAGCTGTGCCCAACGCAGCCTAGGGTCAGAAGCACATTCTGCATCACAGCAAGGATGATGCCCTTCTGAGCGTGTGTATACAGCGCAACAAATTCCACAGAACAGAGCGCTCTTACTTACACTATGGCAATGCCCTCTGAGCGTCTCTGATGCAATTTCTATTCCAATTTTATTTAAGAACAAATTCTTAGTAAGGACTCTGGGTGGCTTCTCTGTGTCCCAGCTGCCCTCTGCACAGTTTATGTGTGTGTGTGTGTGTGTGTGTGTGTGTGTGTACTCTCACTGTGGACCAGATCTTTGTAGTAACCCAGTGAGCAAAGAGGGAAGTTGGGCAGCAGAGGACAAGAAGGCCTGAAGGGCCTGTGGATCTGGACCGACCCGGCTCTTAGCTTTAGCACCCTTTGCTCTGTTTTGTACCCTCTTTCCTCCCAGGACACACGATTGAATAAACCAAGAGTCTGACAGGCATGTGGGGCACCCCTGCAATCCCAGCACTCTGGGAGGCTGAAGCAGGAAGATGGCAAATTGGAGCCCAGCCTGGGCGGATTAGAGACTTTGCAAGATCCTGACTCAAAATAAAATAGAAAGCCATGTTGGCCCCGCCTGTGGGACACTCTGAGACATGGATTGAGACTGGGCGTGGTGGTACACACCTATAATCCCAGCTCTTGGGAGGCTGAAAACAGGAGGATCACTATGAGTATGATCTGAATAGTAAGAACCTGTAGATCCTGTGCTAAGTACATAAAATGAAAATAAAAGAATTAA